ATGTTAAATGAAGTCCTCTGTACTTATTTCTTTCAGCAAAAAGACTTCAGGCCCGACCTTCCTATATAAAGAAGTTCTAAATATAGATAATTATTTCTCTAAGAATTCCAATAACATCTGTTAAAATCATAATTTTTTCACCCTCGTAATTATCACCATCTTCCTAGTTTCTCTGGCCCTTAACCTACTAATTATTTTTGACTCCTTCCTTTGCTTCTCCCTCATCCCTTCCATCCAATCACTGATGATTCCTCTTTCACAAAACCATTTTTTTTTCCATGCCCATGGTTCTAGAGCTGGCTCTCCTGATTATTGCCAAGATTATTGCAATGGCTTCTTAATGGGTCATCTTTCTTTGGTTGCCTTCCTCATCCTTAGTCACACACAGTTGCCCTTTTAACTCAGACATCAGGGTACTTCTACCCTCTAATGTCATTAATTCATTTCATAGACATTTCTGAGAATTTCCAATGTTCAGGGCAAAGATAAAAAAGAAGAATACAGCCTGTTCCTGACTTCGACCAGGTAAAACTTTAGCAGGGTGACACATTCAGGAATCAATGGCTTTCCTTAACTAAAACATAAACCACTTTGCTAAGCGCTGGCGCTCTCCCTAATGCAGCAGGAGCTTGCCTTTCTAGTGTTATTTACCGTAATTTTCCTCTCTGTCACAATACTCTGTATACTTGTTACAATGAAGCTATCATTTGCTGAAAAACTCTTGAATTCAATCTATGCCCTTTCTATGCTGCCTAGCATTGCCATTGCTCCTTTGATGACACCGTACAGTTCTTTCTCCAAGGTTTTATAAATGTTACACTTACAGGCCTTCCAGAACGCACCATCATTCCTTCCATTTTTCAGCAAATGTTACCAATATGTCTCTTCCATTGTATTTATAGATAACACTTACCCAGCCTAGCTTCTAGGACAGGTACTTGTACATCTATACTATTATTCAATTTTGCATCTCTAAAAGTGCCTTTCAAATAATACTCAATACATGTTGAAGTGAACTTAAAAAATACACAAGAACATCATTTATAGCTCTTAATCAGATCACTAACATTACATGAGCTTCTGAGGGGAGAAGAATCCACTCTGAAAATATGACCAGAGACACATTCATTCTGTCAAAGTTTATTAATTTCTCAGAGATGCATCAACCCCCTCGTAGTCGCTTTAATTTTCTCCACTTGGCCGTGTATTAGCCCATTTCCTGTGTTGTACAGGATTCTTTGGCAAAGAAAATGCTGGAGAAAATAGAAGGCAGCATGAAAAGAAGGACACGTATGAGATGACTAACTCCATAAAAGAAGCCATAGGCATGAGTCTACAGGAGCTGAGCAGGGATACTGAGGGCAGGACATTAAAGACATCACTCATTCATAGTCGCCAGGAGTTGGAACCAACTCAATAGCATGTAACATACATGTATTTCCTAGTAATCAGTGTTAATTGAGGGAAGGAGATGGAAAGTGTGAGATCTCAAATCTCACTTCATATTTTTAATCAGCAAGAAGAAAGCCGGAGGGTCTGGAGGACCTGGTACAGGTGAGGACAGTTGTCCACATAGTTCCTAGAGATGGACTGGGCACACCCTTCCTCCCCCACCCCCACCGCCGCCCCTCAGTGTACTGTGACCATGGCTACTTCCATAAAAGCAGTTTTATAGAAAGGACTGAAACCAGGGCAGAGGCACAATGTATAAAGCACACTGGATTATTCTTGGCAGGAAAGGCACGCAAGTGGAGGCAGAGCAAAGGCACTTGATGTTGAAAAGGACAATGTCCTGGGGAGGTGGAGTTCTTAAATGTACAATCACTGATGTAATTAAGAAAACACACACACACACACACACACACACACACACACACATCAATTAAGATTCTAGACCATGTGCTACTTTACAGGCACGATTTTATTTAATCTCCGCACCTTAACAGGTACATGATGATGGTGATGGTGACCTCCTCTATAGAAATGAAGAAACTGATTTGATCAGGGCTACATAGCTGCTATATAATGGGCTGGAATTCAAGTCCACAAAGTCTACTTCAAAGCTATAATTTTAACTCCTGTTTCTAATGTTTTGTCTTATGTGGAGTTAAATCGGGTAGCGGCAACTTTTAAATATAATTACAAGGAGAATTGGCACAAAAAAGAACTAGTCAGTCACCTGATAAACCAACTGCAGAAACAAATATTTATGGTTAGAAATTCACTTGGATACCTTTCTCAAGCTGGAGGATCTCTGCAATGGACTTTTGGGTGAGCATAATCATGTGCTCATCCAAAGCTGCTTGGCCTTTCTCTTGTACACATCTATAATTTGTGGCCTGTGGTATATGCAGTTAGAGACATTATAATCAGTGGCCTGGTTACAAGCATACCTAAATGTGGGAGCCCGAATTGGCAGGAGATTCTACATCCCAAAAGAGGCAAGAATGAAGGTTTGGTTGAGTGTTCAGTGTATGAGAACTCTGCATCTCAAGCAAACTACTCTGTGCCCCACTGGTATAGGTAACAGTGACTGACAATCACCCACTGTATTCCGTAGAGAACACAAGACAGAACACTGGAGGCCTTTTATGAGCAATAGTCAACACAGCCAGGAGACATAGCAGGCTTCCCACCTGAGGTCCACCTACATACACAATTATAAGTTATATTTCTATAATTAGTTTGTTTTGAAATTCTATTTGTTTTATTTTATGCTTTTAAAGACACATTCTGTGATGGAATCCATAAATTTCATCAGGCTGCAAGACAAATCCAAGGCACGAAAAACTTAAAAATGCCTGGCAATTGTGAGAAGAGCTTTCTAAACATTGGAGTCAGCTTGAAATAACAAGTTGTAATCTTTACCAGTGACAACCTTTCGTCTTCAGAGAAGTTTAATCCAGGGACTAGTCTGATATCACTACCATAATACAACTACCATATGTAGAGTTGGCATTGTTGGCAATCAGAAAGCAGAGACCACATGACAACTCTGATTAATTGATGTTGACCAGCGTAAAACAAGGCTAAAACAAAACTCTCCACCTAATATACTCAAATCAGTCAGGGTTTATACCATTATACCTGTGAAACAAGTAATTATTCTGAACTGAAACACTCCTAATAATTTTATCTTGTTTGATTAGGTTTTCTAAATGTTTCAAAATAATTACTTAATTTTTCTACATAAGGAAATTTAAGAAAACATGACCAGGTGGTCTGCTAGGTGTGCTTTTTTTTTAGGAGAATGAAGCATGCTAACTCCAACACATGAAAAAAGAAAACAGCTGATTTGTCCTAATCTCTATCCAAAATGGTGCAAGATAGCAGAACATGGCTAAATCAAAATAAAAAATAATTCAGAAGTAATTCACATTTTTCTTGGAAATCCATTTTAATACTGTACTGACACTGAATGTATCTGTTTCTGATTTAATTTCGTATTAGATTTACACACATGTACATTCAAAACCCTTTATCAGAAGGAATCAGAAAGGATAGTGTCAACTTTTCTTCAATAATTTTTCTTGATTCATAGTTTAAGATCAAAGTAAGCAATTACATACAAAATCTGGGATCTACATTAATAACCTGAGATAATGAATGAAGTTAGAGACAAAAATAATAAGATCAAGTATAAACTGGTCGATTTATAAGAATCTAGTATTTAAAATACTATATTTTCTGATACTGTCAATTTGAACTGGGTGTAAATGGGAAAATGCATTTCAAGCTAAAACACAAAGTATTTTTATAAATAAAAAATAAATCACAAATAGTCAAGGCTATTCTAAAGGACTGAAAGGGCCATGTGTGTTTACTTCTTGCTTCTCCATTTAGAGATCCTATGTAACTTCCAAGCCTCCTTAGACACCTGATTGATATCTTATAACATCAGATTTATGTTCTAAGTTTCAGTATTTTAAAAAGTCGGTTTGTATCAGCTAAAAATAAATTGAATAATTTTAAAATGCCATGAATAATTCTTTTTCAGTAGTAATTGATTTAATTAGCATTTTATGTTTTTAGATGCTGTTATCAAAAATGTATAGCTTTTATTTAAAACTAAAGTGTGTAATTTTAAAATATTGTTTTAAAAAACCTCCCTAACTTTCCAACAATGTTGTTAAAAGGGTCAATTAAAGAAGATGGGTAATATTTTGTATGGTTTTAATGTTTATTTGATGTTTTGTCTCTTTTGTCATTTTTTTTCAGTTACGATAAATATCTTTCCCATAAAAAGTGGGAAAAACAGAATCATAGATTACCAACGAAAATCTCCCAGATGATCTCAGAGAGGTGAAAAGAGAGGTGAGTGTCTTATGTTTCCAAAATCTTTTACTTCCATATTAATGTTGCCTAGGTAAGGAACTGAAATAAAAACAGGATAGGTAAAAAGAAGAGCACAAATTTACCTGTTAGAATCTTAACAGATTTTGAATCTTTGATTTTACTGATTTTGATAAGGTTAATGATCTAGTAGCATAGTAAGAATCTAAGGAGCCTTCATAAAGTTACAGCATGGGGGTAAATGTGAAATATTAAGCTGATAATGTAACATAGTCACAGGTTATGTGCCACAAGAAAGCATAAGCAAATTATATAATTCCCCTCTATACTTTGATCATTTTCTTAAAGACAGTCATGCACCACATAACAACAACGGTACGCATATATGATGATGGTCCCGTAAATTTATAATTGAGCTGTAAAATTGCATTCACCTACTGGCATCGTAGCTGTCATTAATGTCAAAGCAAATTGCATTACAGGCTTGTAGCCTAGGAGCAATAGGCTATGTCATATAGCCTCGTTGTATAGTAGGCTATACCATCTAGGTTTGTGTAAGTGCTCTCTACGATGTTTGCATGACGAAATCGTCTAATGTCAGATTTCTCAGAATGCATCACCACCATTAAGAGACCTATGACTATAGATAATTCTAGTAAATCATTAAATGAAAAAAAATGCAATGAAAAATGTGTCACTACTAGATGCAATACCAGTATAAATATTATAGTATAATCAATAATTTAATAAGTCATCCTGAAAAAACCAAAATGTTTCAAATTAATTTTAAGCTGCTACTTCAAAACATGCTTTGATTTTTATGTTATAATAAACTCAGAAAATGTATAATTCAAAATAATTTTTAGTTTTACTAACAAGTCGTGGGTAGCTTCTTTTAACTGATTGCTTGAGTTTTTATTACTCTTAGGTTACAAAAAAATAGTATAATTTAAATTCATTCTGAACCCCAATTTCCACCCATATTTTGTAGTTAAGAATTCTAATGCTGCCATATAGTAAGGACAGGAAGATATTTAAAATATGCACATTCAAAGAAAATAATATAGTAATGTAAAATCACACAAGAACACACCAAATTATTTTTTTCTGAGGTTTAATTTTAACTAATGAATTTTAAATGATGAATGTAGTGTCAATCCAATTCTTCGCTTATTTGCAATGCACAAACTATTTTTTCTAACTTTGAGGTGAAACAGATTCTTTTCATCACGGCAATACTTTCACCGTTATGTATGATCTTTTATTTTTCCTTGAGTCTTTTTTCTTCAACACTTTAACAAGTCATTTCTAGTTTGGCTAAAGTGCAATTTTAGCACAATAATGTTTCAATTTGCAAGGAAGAACACCCTTATTAAGTTGATAAAACTCCACCAGCTGGATTAGATCCGTAAACCTTGTGTGGCCATCGTCCAGGGTGTGGAACATTTCACCATCATCTTCCACCTACAAGAGAAAAAAATAACGAACTGGTAGGAAGGGCAAAATATCCAGAACAATCATATTCTATTGCATACTGGGTCTTCATATACCAAAATTGACAAGTTATTAAAACTAAAAGACAGCAAAAAGAATGTCATGGCATGTCTACTTCGTTACTGTCATTCCACTTTGCATTTCAAAGAAACAGCATCTGATCCCAGGCTAAGCAAGTGGCTCTACCTTACCTATAATTCTCGCAATGTTTTGTAATTAGAACAGTACAACTATTTTGAATCAATATACAGTGAGAAATCTGCGCTATTCAGTGTAAAAGTAAACAAAAGGTTTTAATGCTCCCATTTACAGACATTTCCATTTCTAAATGTTATCTCCCTAACAGACTCACTTAGTATATTAAAAATGAATATTCACATAATTTATGTCAGTAAATTGATTCTGAAGCAATCAAACATTATGTTAATGGAATGATAGTTGTCTTTTTTTCTTTTTTGTCCGTGAGATATTCTGGCATTAAGCAATTCATACTTGCCAGAGAAATCATTCGCATAATCAGTGAAGTAGGGAAGATACTTCACACAGACTTTAGGTAATTCCAAAAACAACCTATTCAAAAGAAAACACTAGCAATTTAGCAATCTCATATAATACTTTTCCAAAAGTAGATTGATTCTCTATTTTACATTATCTGGTTCCAATATATAGATCACATGCACGCATGTGTGCACGCACAAACACACACACACACACACACACACACTAGTAGCAGATATAACAAAAATCCCAAAACAAGTTATGTGATCCAAAAGCAGAATTACAAAAAAATTTTTAAATTTGCTTAGAATAGTTTAAATGATATTTAGTTCTGCAGCACCTGTGTATCTATCCACAATGATTAAAAACAAAACTATGAAAACAAAAAATATTCTTGAGACAAGGAAGAAGAAAGAGCTTTAAAATAAAGGGTTTTTAAAGAATCACTAGTAGAATTCAGGAAAAAGAATCTTTAGTGGCCTTTTAACAATAGGTGGCATGAGGTCTATACAAATATTGTTAAATCATGTTTCCTGAGAAAAAGAAAATTTAATTTTTACAATTCCTGTATTTCTTATATTAATTCAGACTCATAAAACCATTTCTGCCAAACTTAACTCTAGTCAAAGCACAAAATCCCAAATTATATTTAATAAAAGAACTAAAGAAAACCAAAGTTTCCAAAAGCTTATGCATTAAGATCATCTCTAATATACGAATGTGAGATCACAAAATACTTACTGGTATAATTTGAAAATGCTTTATTTTTTGTGCATGACTCATTGACAGTACGAAAGTTTTGGGGTTACTCTGACTATCCCGTACCAAGAAAACTCTAAAGAAAGAGAAAGAATTGTAATATGTTTCTACATCTATTCATGGTTTTCCTAGAAATATAGCATATAATAAATCCAAAAAATATAAAAATAAACATAGCCATAGTTTTCCTTTGCTGTGCATTCAATGATGGGATTATCCAACATGGTAAACTCTATGATACAACACTATCTTACACTATAAAACCGTCGTCAGTGCTAATTTAATTTTAATAGGATAAATATACAGCTCATTTGTCAGATTGTTTGCTCACAATAACCAATAAAATGCTATGCTGGCATCAATAATTAGTGCTGTGTCCTTTTTCCACTGGGAAATTGGGTATTCACATGTAACTGTTTTGTACAGAGAATGGGTCATTAGCATATTGTTATTTTAACTTCTGGGTCATGTGAGGCCCTGAAAGAGAATATTATTTCGAATGAAATCATTTTTTAACCACCTCTTCTCCACCGAATATCCTTTTTTCTTTTGTTTCTGGTTCCTACTATTACACGCACAACAGCAAGTGAGAAATGAATATATTTTTAAAAAATCAAAGCTGCAATCATTTATTAAATGTTTGAGCAAAATGTTTTAAGTAAAAGAAATACCCAAACAACCTATCTTTAACCTTGAAGAATGCAGCAGAAAGTCTCTATAATGTCAGGCTAGAAAAGCAAGACATGGCTTAATGGTGTAAGAGAAAAATGCTGCCAGACGTATACTCTTATTTATTGACAATGTAGTGCAAAACCAGCTTTGTATTAATTGCTGGCAAACAGACTATGCAAACAGTTTCTACTGGCGACTCCAATACTAATCTCACTGTGCCTGGGCAAAGAGGCAGCCAAATTTGAGCCATCACAGATGTCTGATGAGATTATCCATTTCATTTATGCTGTGTGAGATTCCGACATGACATCGCTGGGAGATGGGACAAAAGGGAGTTTCACTGGTAAATCAAGCTGTAATTCTCTCCCCATTCCCAAGTAAATCACCACTACCACCTAGTGGACTACTTGGCATCATCACATCTTTCCAAAGGCAAAGCAAAAAGAAAAAAATTTTAAAGAAAAAAATTTTTTAAAATTACTATTCTTTATGTAATGATTTCATTCAATTTACAAAAACTAGACACAGCAGTAAGGGAAATTATAAACCCCCAAAACATTTTAACAGTTCTTTGTAGTTTCTTTTTTTGGTCTCATCAGATTGTAACTCTGCTGATTATTCAAATTTTTATCTATAAAGACTGTGCTCTATACAGAGAAGCATATTAAAATCTTTTCTTATTTACAGTCTAGTGAAATTCTGACTTGTTATTAATAATATTGCATGTGAAGATGCATTTTATCCAAATGTCAATATTAAATCACCTTGAAATCTTGTCATCATCTTAGGCCAACCAATCCCTGAAGATATAAGATTTTGTCACCCCTTAAATTGACACTGGTTTCACTTCTCATCCAAACCTCAATACGACCTTCTTAATTTGTATTACATTTGGGAAGAGAATTAAGCCAATATTATAGGAAGTATCTGAAATACTGAGTACTTTGAGAAAAAAAAAAAATTCTCTAGATTATAAATCATTCATAATACATTTTATATTTCTCCTACATCTTTCATGGCACCTCACTAAAAGATAACATGAGAAACAGTCAAGTATGCTTTTCATAGGTTTATATTGCTTTAAGCTGTTAAAGTTTAAAGAAAATCAGGATATAATCAGAAAGAAAAAATATATGAAACAAATGGTCTAAATATGTAAGAAACAGCTTTTTACTTAACACGCCTTGCATCAAACTTTACAAAAATATAACATATGATGTCATCACACAAACCATACTTTGCAATTATATGAACTATATTTTCAAATCAAAACATTGATACCCAAGACCAAGTTAAGCTTTTTCCCCCATCAAGTATAATCTAAGATGCTAATATTGGCAGAGAGTGAGTAATATTAGTGATGATTGGTTAAGAACAGAGCACCCTATTCAGTTATCTGTTAATTTATGCACAAAAACTAAGCATACATTATGAAACAGGTATTTTACAGATATTGCTAGGATACACTGACAACTTTCCTTATAGAACAAAGTCACTTCTGTTTTAATAAACCAAAGTCAAAACTCTTTGTGTTGTTGAATAAGTAATTACTGACTATAGAAGAAATCAAAATCACTACCATTCAAAATCTAACTTACCCATCCACAAGTCCTTGCTGAATAATCAGTCGCTGAGCTTCATCTCTAGAAATTTTGTGGTGAAACCATGGTTGGGATCGGTGGATAGCTGAAGAAATGAATGGAGGAAACAAAGCTTTACATGAAATTATCACAATTACATGACTTTCCACCATAATCCCTCAGTGACTAGACCTAAATGCACATATATCCATCCATTCAGTCATAGTGAAGATGCAGACATACCCAAGCTGGTGGCAGAGCTCTGTGAAGAGGCAGTGGGGCTACCATGATTGCCCAGGCGTAGGCATCCTTTTTTCTGCATGAGGAAGTGAAAACAAATTTAAACTTTTGGGGTGAAATAAACTCAAATCATAAATATTTTTGAAGAATATGAACCTATTTATACCCTCCAAGCGAGTCCTTCTTCAACTGCAACTGAAAGGGCTTCTGTGGGATTTTCTATAACTCTGCTTTTCTGGCCTGAGAAGTCCATTGCTACCAGTGAATTCTCTGATATACTTCTCTGGAAAAACAAAAAACAAAAAAACAAAAAAATGACTCTTTTTTAACTATGAAAATATATTTAAAGTTATATTTCAGTGCTTTGCTGGCAATATGTTTCTATTCTATGATGTGGTTCCAAAGGTGGCTAACAGGAAATTAAAAAGTTAAAAATATATATTCAAGATAAAATGGTGCTATAAAATATTTTGGTTAAATAAGATATATAGCTATTAGTTAAGCTCACTGAATAAAGGGATTAAAAGCTTTCAAGGTAAGTACGCCTTTCTCCTAAAACAGCCCCCTCTTCTATTCTCCAGTAAAATGGGAAAATGCCAATTCGGAAAAGAATTTTTAGCCCTTCCTGAGGTAAAAAGATACATTACTTCTGAACTCATCTCCCTATTATGTTTTGAGATTTATCAATTATCTTTAAGTGTCAATCTCTCTCCTTATAAAGCAGCTATTTATTAAGATTCAAAATACACTAAAGCTATAACAAAATGACTTCTTTAGAAAGAAATAGAACTCACTTTATAACAGAACTACAATATGTATTTTAAGTTTATCATCTCAACTTTCATCTTACTTAGAAAATAAAATTTAGTGAAATAATTCAGATAACTTCACATTATTAAAATTTCTATGACTTAATATGTAGACATTTTTTCTTCTTGTAAAGATGAACATGGCAAAGTGAGATCTGCAAAAATAAGTCAATGACCAAAGAAGAACTGATCTAAAAGGAAGACATCTTTAAACAAACAATTTAAAACAAATAATTTTTTTTGCCAATTACTTTTTGTATTCATATTATCTAACGTGAAAATAAAATATCTAAAACCTGGACTTTATATTTACTTTTTGTTTGGTTAGGGCTCTACCTCACAACAATCTTTTTAAAAGTATGCCATCCCAAGTCATGCATCTTAAAAAAGAGACAACTGTCAAAACTTCCAGTCAAGAGTGTCACTCAGTTTTTAAGGATCAAAACTCTCCAAAAGAAAAAAAAATATTCGAAACCAGCAAGGACAATGTTTCACAGTTATTCTCCACTCGGTAATAGAGGAACAAAACCAAACCAAAGGTCTAATGGTAAAGGAGGAGCCAGCGTGCATCTGGAGACTTGTGGCTTACAACCACTTTATAACTCCCCACATGGATCCAACCACACCTAACTTCGTCTAACAGAATACAGTTACATGTATGCTTGAAATGTCCACACACAAAAACTGGGGCGCTCATTTATCACTGCATCACACATGGCACTTTATTAGCATTTGTTATTTCCTCTTCAAACCATGCTGCAGTGGTCCACAATTTTATTTAGTTTCATCTTTATTCTGGACATCTGGCGTGTAATCTTTCATATGTTACAGGAGACTTTATAACTGACAGCTGCTCTTTCCAGACAGATGCTGTCTCTGTAATCTCTATTTGCTGTCACACCTTACTTTGCCCTTCTCACCCCATGATCTTCTGTGCTAGACTGTGGACCAGTCGGATATACTTTTGCTTTGCTGACATTAATGTAAAGCCTCTACCTGCCCAAACCATGGAGTAACTAATCTCAATCATAATAATGGTTTTATCTTTATAATATCTCTACTTCACGTGCCAAGATGGGCTCTGTAACTGTAAGGTCCCGATAACATAAAAATACTGTTAGAAAAGAAAAATAAATGTAACCAGTTGTTTTTATCCTTTTTTCTCCTCCTTAATATGACAGACTGAATGCAAAACAAGATCCTATGTTCCATAAGTACTTGACATAAGTAGGGAGTTTACAATACAAATAAGCATTTTTATTTGCTACATTAACTACACTAGAGGAAAACACAGGAATACAGCAAATATTTTCTACTGAATGGCAGGTGGTGGATGAAAAATTAATAGTTTACCTTTGGTGGACAAAGAAATGGAAGTGAAGCAAAATCAGACTTGAACTCAAAAGGTCATTTTCAGCTCAATTTCTTTCACATAGAAAAGCAATGTTGATAACATTCAGAATCAGTGTGTTTTTCAAATACTTGTCCCTTTTCTAGCTTTCTTTTGGTGGGATAAACAGGGCAAGCCCTAAGAAAGGGCCCATGATTTTAAGGGCATCCCTCTTTTTTTAAGAAAGAAGAAGCCTGAGTACACCTTGGATTATCCAGGCCACACTGAAATCAGATCCAGTCACTCTTAATGGAATAAATGTTTTTCAGGAAGTTTAGCTAGGTGGCAACTAGTAGCCATATACTCTCTGTCGCCCCATTTAAAAGATTGAAATAAACCTACAGCACAGTCCTTAGCAAGAGGACACAGAATTTCCTTAGATACTGTTCTCTCATCTGCTTGATATAGGGCCACAGGACATCAAAGATGCAATTGATTCTAGATATTATGCAACCATCCCTGTATTTCACACTGCAGGACACCAGTGACTCGACTAAAGTCACACAGACAGCATATAGTAAAAGCAGTGACAGACTCTAGGGTTCTTTCATATATCACAATATTGGGGGGTACAGGGAAGAAACTGTAGTTTGGAATGTCTAGCACAAGGTCAAAAGTGAGGAAGAATAAGAACTTGCATAGATTTGTTTTTCCCATCTCCTCATTCCAGCTGGGGCCATGTTAACAGATGCTCCTTTCAGTGAATCCACTGTTTGCCCTAAAAAGGACCAACTATATTTGGCTTCCTCAAATATCTGCTCATGATCCTCATTTCAAAGGCTGATAGGGGTGCCTATTATGTGCTATATATATGATGTTCATTATGGCATGAGAATTTTTTCTCATTTCTCTTCTCCAAATGTATCCTGAAAAAGTTAAGATGATAATATTGTTCCTTTAAAAACATAACAAAAATATGCTAAGTTTTCTGTGCTGCTCACTGAAAATAGTACCTGGATGAAAACCAGCAAGGGTAGGTGAGGGGCACTGGTCCATTATAGAACTCACTGATAATCTAGAAAAGTACAATTCTGTATATAGACACCAAAGTAAATGTAAATACTTTCCTAAACTTCTTAGTTTCCTTCATGGAAATTAAAAAGAGTGGAGCTAAAATTATCAAACGCTATTCTCTGATCATGACAACTGCCATACAACCAACAACTGACAGGTCTTCACCACACAGGCACCTAAAGCCCTCCTCCTTCGATCCTGATTTCCAACCAAATTCACTCAAGGACTGTCTTTTTTCCTATGCATGGTGCTGAACAACGAAAGCTACACTAACCAAACTGTCCTATACATACTGACCAACGGTACGATTGCTTTCAACAGGAGGATGTAAGGATAGTACCATACCTGTATGCTAATGACAGTGATGAGAGTAGAAAGTACTTTATGACAATTTTTCCTATGATTAAGTAGACACTGAACAATATTGGCTTCCAAATGCATGGCTGCTATTAACATGCTCAGCCTAATAATTTTAGACTCTAACAGAAATTTAAAATGATTTAGAAAAGGACTAAGATAATAAAATTTATTATATATATATATAATATGGATTGAAAAGATAAGGATAAGCTGACAAATTATACAAATATTCACCTGAAAGTAACTGCTTTCATAAAAATTCATTACACTGCTGTTTCTTATTTTAGGGCTTAAAAGTAATATGATACAAAGATGAAAAGTTACTCTTCCATAACTAATAGTTAAAGCAACATAACTACAGAATTGGAGTTCTTTTTCCATATTAGTCTATCAGGCTTCATAATCAACATTATTTCATGCCTCATTCTTACAACTGAGCATTTTACCTGCTACATTACATGTAGAGAAATGCACCTTACTTGGTCACAGACATGAGGAGCGGATTTCTAACTTAAGTGGAAATGCAGCACGTTAGCTGATTTGTAACACAGGCACATACATCTGAATTCCTAATATACTCAATATTAAAAAGCACAAGCAAAAATAGCAGAACATAAACTTTACATTAAGAAATAAATGTCTTGTGTTAATGCATGGAAAATTAAAATCAAGTACTAAAGAAGGGAAAAGATGTGTGTATCTGTGTGTCTGCAAATAAATACCCAAGTTGCATTCAGTTTAAATGTGAAAAGTGGTGCAAGATTTAATGTAATGCACGACCTATATTTTTGTTGGCAGTTTTTGAGTTTCCTGGAGAGCAGTTTGCTTTTCAAGGACCTGGAACTTTAAAAATTTTATTGTTAGAAAGCCAATGCAAAAGAGCTCACATGTGTATAATGCAGCTTTTAAAATTCAAAACCACTGTCATCTTTATACTCAGCTATGACAATCCCAGAATTAATATTAAATTAAATAAATAAGCCCACAATCAAAATCAATAATTAAGAAAACATCTACAATCCCACAGAAACTATTCTATAAATTATCTTAAGATCTAATCCTCAATGTAATGAGACAGAATGATTCATGTAATTCTTTCAAATATTTAAAAAAAAAATTTAACATATAGACATCTATTTTAATTGAATATTTCATGTATACTCTACTGCTGTGCTTTTTATCACATAGGCTGCAATCATATAAAATCCAAGAATAAGTAATTCAATATAACATTATGGTAGGATGTTGCCAAAGAGAAACTTTACTTGGCCAAAAGGAAAGAATGTAACTACATTATAATGCATATTTAGAATGTAATGTACTTGCAAATTAATATAATATAAATATAAAATAAAATATAGGTTCAAAACTTTGTTCCTTACCATGGGTGATATACTCTGAGAACTGCAGCCACTTCTACCTTGATAAGGATGCATGTAATTCTGGTACAGCTGCATGCCATACTGCAGAATAAAAAAAACAAAAAACAAAAAACAAAAAAAAAACACATTCTCACCACTTTTACTACACAATTTGTGAAAATCGACACTTTTGTTAATTACACATCATCCGCATAAGAAATGAAAATTGTAAACGTTCCTTAAAACAAATAAGCAAAGCACCAAAATTTTGAAAAGTAAACTTTTAGCGCATTAGAATGATACATTTAAAAAGACAATGTTTTTTACTTGGACTCACACTTAAGGTCTAGCTCACCAGTATAAAAATCTGGAACTGACACTTATACTCATTATTTTGAGCACCAATAGCACCAAAACTAAGTAGAGTGATATACCACCTAGTGGTATAAAAGCTCACTTGGGAAGGGTGGCAAGCTTTATGGTACAAAGAATATGAAAACCCTATATACATCCTAAGCAAAACCAGGTAAAATTCATCATAACTCTTAATGACTGATAGATGAATTACATTGTCTTTGTCAGTAAATCCATAAGCTTGGCCCTGTGTTAAAGATTCTTGGCATTGTATTATCCTCTGGTAAAATACTCTTACGGCAGTGTTTACTATTTGGCTTTAAAATCAGTGATCTCATAATGATGGGGAATTAGGCTGATTTCAGACAAAGGGTCACAAAATATAAGGTAAATGACAGTAGATAAGAAATGCAGAGACTTTACTTTCAGAAGGTAGCATCGTAAGACTTGGGCTGCTAGGCTACAATTGGAAAATGGGTGTAGATTATAATACTGGAATATTAGTTTGAGAAACATTAAGAATGCCAACTGCCATGACCAAATTTATCTTGGAGGAGTCCCAATCTGAAACTAGAAGATGACCCCCTTAGACTGAAGTCATTTCGTTTAAAAAAAAAAAAAAAGAAAGAAAGAAAGGAAAGGGAAAGAAAAAAGGAAAGAGAAAGGGAAAGGAAAAGGAAAAGAAGAAACCAACAGGACACACAGGCTTTTCTGTCCATCTCTCCCGTTTTTTTTGACTATAGTCCACAATTCTCTACATTTCATAGAGTCATAACCATAGAATCCAATCATACTCTCAGGGTAAATACCATTTAAATATTCCAACAGAGCTGTTTCCTCTACTAAAGACTATTTCCTTGAAAGCAATTCCAGCAAAGTGGATATATTTGGTAATTAGGCAGAAAATCAGAGGGGGGTAAGGAGAGTCACTATTTTCAAGATTTTGCTTTTAACATAAATACAAACTCACACTCATTTAAAATTCTCTACATTGACTTCTTTATCCAGTTATTTCCCAACTTCTAAAAATTATTTTTAACCTAAGGTTTGACATTAATGAGACCTAATAAAATTTATTTTAAATCAACTCTAAGCCTGCAACAATTTTAGAAAGAAGACAATAGGGCTAAACTCCTAGTCGAGTTCAATTTGGAGACTATACAAGAACCTCCAACCAATACTTTCACAAGGAACATGCTGCTTGTCCACCTTTTATTTATCTGCAATGAAAAGCCTGCTACCAACTAATAAGACTGTTTTCTTCAAAGATGTATTGTCCCTGGTACCTGTGGTGTTAGGTAGTTGCTTCTGTACTGTTAGAGGCATTTAACTCTGGCTGAGGGGTAGGGCATGGGTCACTTTAACATTTCCCTGCCCCTATGGAGGGGCAGATAAGAGACCAAAATATGTTAGAGTGTAGCTAGCAGAGTTTTAATTGAAGGAAAGGGAAGGAGACAATGTAACTAGGGCAGTGTACATGGGTAAAGTCCTGAGTCTCAGATTTTCTATGATTCTATATGTAACTGGAATTTCTCCAACAGATTTTCTATGATTCTATATGTAACTGGTATCTCCATCTGATATTAAATGAAGACTTTTTATGTGTATGTGAAAATGAAAGGGAAATAAACATAAAACAAGAAACCAAATTTTGGGGGAAGGCTATCTCTAATTAGTATATAATGAAAACAAGAGGGAAACTTCTGGTCTAGCCAACACTACATAAAGACTAGTTTCTCCTTGCCCACTAAGTAGAGCAGGTCCTCGAATAACATCATTTTGTTATAACATTGATGAGAAAGAAAAAATTGATTCCTAGCTGGGCCCACTGTCTGCATAGAGTTCACACGTTCTCCCCATGTCTGCGTGGTTTTTCTCGAGGTACTCTTGCCTTCTCCCACATCCCAAAGCTGTGCACATGAAGTGATGGGCGTGTCCACATTGTCCCAGTCTGAGTGACTGTGGGTGTATGAATGCGTCTTGTGATGGAAGGGTGTCCTGTCCAGAGGGGTGCCGACCTTATGCCCTGAGCTTCTGGGATAGGCTCCGGCCACCCTCAAGCCCGAACTAAAATAAGTGGGTTGGGAAAGAATTCTTTTACTCGTTTTTATTAATCTTTCTTAAATGTATGTACAATTTACACTTATTTCGATGTTTAGTATTAGAAGTATTTTGGGTCTTCATTTAGAAGTTTGGTGATTTTTTTGTGAACAGAAATATGCCGTAGGAACTTAACTCTTGTTTTTATCTGTTACCCTAAGGTAAAATGAGTTTTGTTATACCTCGTTTCACTTAAACTTGCAGTTTCCAAGAACCTATCAACAACGTTAAGTGAGGATTTACTGCACAATGATAAACTCTGGAACTAACATCATAGACAACCAAAAAAGACAATCAAGAGATATCTCTAACACCAGGAGAGCCCAGCTGGACCAGCCAGGGGGATCAAACAAGTGTCCCACTGACAACAAGGTGCCAGGGGAAACCAATGCAGTTCCCTATTAGAGTGCCTCAAATGTGTCTATGCTGGCAAGCCCAGGTTTCCTGTATCCGGATATTTTAAATTGTCAAACAGATCATATCACTTTCCTGTTTGAAACTCTTTGGTGGTTTCTCAGGATAAAGATCCTCACTGATGCTTGTCTCCCTCTCCAATTTCATCTGGAAAAGTCCTGTCATAATTGAAACAAACAGGGAATGCCAATATAGTAGCAGAATAATGGCCCCCATAGACATCCACACCTAAATCTCCAGAACCTATGACCATGTTAAACTATGTGGTAAAGGGAAATTAGGTTGCAGACGGAATTAAAGGTGTTAACTGGGTGACCTTGAAATAAGGTGGTTATTATTCTGGATTATCCAGGTAGATCTAGTGTAATCACAGGAGTCCTTATAAGTGGAAGGAGGAGCCTGAAGAGACAGAATCAGAGATATGGCAGTGTGAAAAGGACTCAGCAGACATTGCTGGTTTTGAGGGCAGAGGAAGAGGCCATGAACCAAAGAATCTGGGCAGCCTCTAAAGGCTAGAAAGGGCAAAAAATGAATTCTTCCTCAAAACCCTCCAGAAGAGAATGCAGCCCTGTTGTCACCTTGTTTTTAGTCCAATTAAGATCCATTTCCAACTTCTGAATGGTAGAGGTGTAAGATAATAAATTTGTATTGTTTTAAACCACTATTTTGGTGGCGATGTGTTACAGCAGCTACAAAACTAATACAACAGAACATCTTTAAACAGGGCATTTATGAATTGAAAGTGGCTTTGAGAAGAGTCAGATGAGAGAAAAAAGTGAGGAGATGATCTTTCAGAAACTAAGAGCTTGGTTTATGGAAGGATCAAAGAAAACTTTTAGTTGACTTCATCAATTCTTAGACACACATTTCTTTTCAGATTTCAACATCTATAAATTTGTCTTATAATCTATGGCACCTAATATTCACAGTGGAACAGGTGGCTTGTCATTGCTTAAAACCGGTGAGATCAAGAAATCATTAGCATCAAACCATGCAAAAGGGATGTTAATGGCTAGAAAAACAATCCCACAGACATATCAAGGCACTGTCTGTGAAGTTCAGCCTCTCCCAAGTTTTTGATGGTACAGAGCAAGATGCCCTGTGGAAAATATGGGTATCCTTGGGGTGGTTCCACAGTGTAGTGGTTAGCATGTCTGCATTACATGCAGAAGGTCCTGGGTTCGTGCCCCAGGTGGAGCCACGGACCATATACCCTGGGTGCACCAGGCCCCGGGTATACGCCACAAGTGTGGGAGGAGACGCCCTGCCTTCAGAGATCCAGTTCTTAATGGGAAACTGCAACGTCCATAGGTCAGGGGTGGAGGTGGGGAAGGGGGTAATTAAAGAGGGGAAAAAAGAAAAAGAAAATATGGGTATTCTTGACTCTGAGATGAAATTGATTCAGAAAAGCCAGACTTAGAGTATGAAGAAGTTTTAAAGATATCTCAACTAATTTATTTCGCATCTATATCTTCCTACATATACTTACATATCTCTGTGTATATATACAAAATTGATAAATGATGAAAATCTCGGTCTATAGGTCTAAATAAATCTAAACTATTTAAATAAAAATAAAAATTATAAGTGATATGAAAGCATATCATAATTTTATTGGCATAATTCTTTCTAGTTACACTAAAAAAAAATAATGGAGTATCCTAGTAAAATCAGTGGTGTGTTGGGGTCACTGAAAGACTGATCACAGGAAGTGGGTGCTTCTGTGTTGGCTGTCTGACTTTGAGGTCAAGTTGGAAGAGGGGAATATTTGGTTGGATGCATCTCTTCTACCAGTCTAGCCTAATTTACAGAGTTCCGATAAAAGGGGAGGAAAAAAACAGAGGCCTCAAGGTATTTTTCCTACTGTATTCACAGTAGTCAAAAGGTAGAAACAACCCAAATATCCATCAATAGATGGATAAACAAATTGTTTATTTAACATACATATACATGCAAGAGAATATTATTCACCCGTAAAAAGGAATGAAGTACTACTGACTTATGCTAGAATGTGGATGAACCATAAAACATTATGCCAAGTGAAAGAAGCCAGACATAAAAGGTCACCTATTATATGATTTCATTTCAATGAAATATCCGAATAGGTAAATTCAGAGAGAAAATGAAGATTGGTAGATTCCCGGGGCTGAGAGTAACTGCTTCATGGGTACAATTTCCTTTTGAGGTGAAGAAAATGTTTTGCAGCTAGATACAGTTGGTGATTGAACAACATTTTGAATGTACTAAATGTTACTGAATTGTTCACATTAAAAGTAGCCAGTTTGGTTAATTTTATGTTATGTGAACTTCACCTCAATTTAAAAACTTAAAAATTAGAACACTCTTCCAAACTGTTATGACAACTAATCTGATTCTGATTATTCTGCCCTTTTTCAAAAGGAAATGGTTGATAATTTTTATAATCATAAATTTAAAGTTGTGTTAAATTTACTAACATCCAAGTTTTGAAAATAAATGTTTTCTATATATTCTGGAAGAAATCAGTGTTGTATTTCTCTTCCCTAATTACCTTTAGAACATTCTTACTCTTTGCAAAATGCTTACCAAGAAATTAAGCTTATGAAAGCTATAATATCTACTTAGCACAAAGGTAGATGCTTTAATAATAGTAAACTTTATATAATAATTTGAGTCATACTTAAACTAGAAAGCAATTTATATAACACATCAATAAGACATAAAACAACTGCACTAAATATATCCAGGTGGGCACATTTTAAAATGTACTTCATATCGGATTGATGGCAATGTTTTTAAGATGTAGACTAAGTTGTCTATAGAAGTTTCGGTTGTACCGACTATATATATAATATTCTTACAAAAAAAAATGAAAATCAGAACATTTCTAAAAATGAAATAACTTACTCCACACACAAAAGATAAATATACTAGGTTATTGTACTTGGCTCTGCAAATGTTTATCTTTTAGATAAAATACACACATTGAGTGGTGGTTATTCTTCCTCTTATTCACCCACCCACACAGATTAAGAGTGAGCCCTTGTGTTTTGAAATACAGCTACTTTCAAACCTTGATGGTACTGCCAATATTTAACAGAAATGCACAACTGCAGTGAGATTACCTTAAGCAATCTAATCGCGGTCACCCAGCACGTCCTACTCTGCTCTTCTTCTGCACAGAGCATTTTCAGGTCTCGGGGCCCTCGCGCTTTGTTAGGCTAGAAGGCCACAGCACATTGTTTATCGTTAATGCATATCTTGAAGGTAACACCTGTTGAAATAAAAGCCACTAAAATTCTCCCATATATGTAAGAGAAAGCTATCTCTTTTTAAAAGAAATTAAAAGAAACTCAAGCTTACCTAAAAGGCTGAGGCTTGCTTTATTCATCTATCAAAATATTAAGCCTGTACCTTAAAGCAGAATCCATAGTTAGCTGGTGCTCCATGTTTTTTTTTGCCTGCCAGTGACACATAAATATCACTATTGCCAAAATCGCTGAAAAACTGCAAATGCCGTGGTTCCTTAAAAAGAAAATATATGCAAGTGTTGACATAGGTACATATTTTGCACTATCTCTTTTGTATTTCTATTACATTACATAACTTACACCTTGGCAAAAATTATTCCAAATAATGTCACAGAAACAAAAGGGAAGAAAAACTAAGTCACCATTTCTTTAAATAACCAGGACCTTGATACAATATTGTTTAAATTGAGAAGTGGCAACTTGTTTATAATTTAACTTCTAATATACAAAAATGTACACCTTCCTATTCTAAACTTATTCTTTAACCACCATTTCAAGGATTCTGAGGAAGAAAAGATAGAATGGCTTTTGAAAATGTTTTCTTTGCCTGGGTTTCAAATAATGGTGGTTCAATAAAGGGAAGAAGGTGGGTTTAAGCTTCCGCAGCAGTTAGAGAAGAAAAAGGAGAAACAGGATGATTCCTGCTTCATTCAGAAACGACCATCCCTCACATCTGTGTACTGCCTAACACACCACGACAAGCAGTGAGATAGGCAGCATGACTATCTTCCTTTACAAAAAGAAGGAAGCCTGTACCAACGAGTTCAGGGAAATTACCTGGCAGTGGGGTGTGTCTGATTTTCAAGGCAAAGTAGAATCATGAACAGCTATTTCTTCTCTAGGAAATCCATGAGATTTAGAACTGGTCATGGGAAATCACTGGGTCATATTATTCTGCGGTAGGTTAATAACTTGGAGAAATGCTTAATTCCAGGGTTGAATGTATAATGAAAACTGACCAAAATACATTTGTTCTTTAAAACCTTGCTACTAGTAGTGTGGTCCTTGTCCAGCATCACCTGGAAGCTTATTCGAAATGCAAAATCTCAAGGCCCACCCCAAGACCTAGTGAATCAAAATCTGCATTTTACCAAGCTCCCAGGTGTTTACATGCACTGAAATTTGAGAAGCAGTGCTAAGGAAGGAAGGAAGGAAGGAAGGAAGGAAGG